CTAATTGTACAAAGCTAAAGAGTTTGTACGCGGTAATCTCAGGAATTGAAACGTAATTTGTGGTAGTCCCTTTATCGAATATAAGATCCAATTAACGCGGGTAAACGGCTAGTTATATATAAGTCAAGTAAAGATTATGTAATCGATTATATAAATGTTACATTTACCGAACTAACTAATAAATGATTTACATTATTTTTATTATGATTATATTGTATGCTTTGAAAAAGTAGTTTGGAGACAGAGCAATTCAAAGTTTTATTTTTGTACGATTTAAAGTATTAAAAAGCTTGATTTTCGCAAGAATTACAACAAATACAAAAGCTCTCTGCAAAGAACTTGTCTTATGAAGCCGAGTCGATGTTTTTTATTTTTGTAATTACAAAAATCATGGCAAAAATTACAGTAAATGTTTGTACTGTCCGGGAATTAATTTCTACGGCTCTCAGCGAAGTTGGGCGTTCAAAAAATACTGTTCAGTAAACGTCTTGCTACTAATGTACCGCAGTCGCGTATGAGCGCTGCAAACGGCAGAATTATCTCGAATTCGCCGATTTGCTTCAAGACTTCTGTAGCTCTATTGAAGGCACAATGTGGAGTAATCATGCCTTTGGAATCACGTCCGGGAGCGACAGGAATTCCGTTGGACCTCCGACTTCAGATAATTTTCTTAACAAAAATAAACTTTTTATAGATAATGCTGCGTCCATTTTTGTCCGTTTGACTGATTAGATGAGAAAAATAAAATATGTTAAATTATGCTCCTTTAATTAAAAGTCCTAGTCTTCGAACGTAGTTGCCTTTAATGTTATTAGGTCAGCGACTCTCTGTAAGCATTTAATAAAACCTAACCAAACACCCGTTGCTTACATACAAAACCTACTTGCAAGCGCTAAAAACGTTTTTCTGCACCATATTTTGACAAACGGCCAGCAACTCACCAACTCGCAAGTGTGTTGCCGGCTTTTTAAGAATTGATACGCTGTTTTATTGAAGAACCAGGTTTATAACCAAATCCGTCTTCTCAAACATTCGCGCGTAGGGACGCCGCATCTGGACGCAGTACAAATCAAAATTGATATTCTCATTAGTTATTATTTATTATATAAACACAGTAATACATATTTCAATATCGATATTATGCACAAATGTTTAAGATGTCAATTAGTTCAATAATGTTTTATAACGTTTGATTTATAAATGCGAATAATAAGGCCAAAGGGCTATTTTATTCACTAATTCAACTTGATTCTTTGATTCGTATTACGCCCGAAATAAAGACTCAAGCGTTTGTAATCATCGATTAGAATTTTTCAATTTGCCCAATTGCTAATTATTCACAGTTCGAAAGAAAATTCTATTTTCTTTAAACGTTGAAAACAATTTATTTGTCACTTCAATAACGATTTCCAATACCGTTTTAGAATCTGCCATTTTATGTTTTTTAGGCTTTGTTAATGAAGTTGCGATTTCATTTATACAATCTGTATAAATTAAAACTTTATAACATTCTAATACTAATAAAAAAAATAACTTAAGCATAATTTAATAAAATTTAAAATTATTCGACTTGAAACATTTTTCGACTGGAATGGCACGGGACCGATCAATAAAAATTGATAGTAATCAATTCTGCTAAAAATGAGCTCTCGAAAGTTTGGCATTGAGTGCACATATGTATGTCAGTTGCCAGTAAGTGAACTAAATGTATTACATACTAAGTGCTATCAAAGATGCCAAAACAGTACAGTAAAGGCTTATAAAACGAAAACTTTTGGCCTACCGAATTTCTTGAACAAAAGCTCTTCTATAGTTTATATCTACAGTACACAGAAACTCTACTTACCAATAATTGTAAAAAGAAAATTTCTTTGATGTCATCGCGGGTGTCGGCAATTTCAGTTAGGATTCTAATTTGACCTTGAATAACCTTTGCGAGTCATACTTTCATTTAATACGACTTCAGATTGTTTTAAGTCCCCTATTTTAGAACTAGCAACTAATAGCGTTTTTCTGCGCAGTATTAAGATGACAATTATTTTTTATTCATTTCTACCTATTATATCGATAAATGTTTAGGTTATTATATATTATAGGTCATTAAAGGATAATTTGTTAGATCAAATCAATCTCTTAATTGTACTCCGCTCGTTATAAAAAAAGGTTTTAAATAAATAAAGGCTTATATTGTATTTCATTAAAAAGAGTTAATTTATAAGCTACGTATGCGATTTTATACTTTAAGGCCCTGTGTTCGTATCTCCACTATCCAGAAAAAGTTGTTTCTTTCTATGCCCGATTAATATATGGTCGTACAGTGGAGGATAACATCCCAACCCGTGGATCTGGCACCTGGATATTATAATTCTTTAAAAAAAAATGGAACAGACAACACAGATTAGGGTAAAAAACCGCCTTCACCGGGGAAGGCGAAGACCTTTACTTCGTACTTCGCTCACTCCAGTGAGCTTCCGTCCTGCCCTTCCGATTGAACACCCCGCGACGGCCCAAGCCGAGGTTCGAGTCTCACAGGAGACGCCCTTGCGCTAGTCGCGGGAAAAACCGCCCATTCTGACCGAGCTACGCTCGCCAAATCGGCCCGAGCTGAGCTGTAAAGGCCCTTAAGGCCAACAGCGAGATTCCATTAAAAAAAAAATGGAACAGACAAAGAGCGCATAATCCATAATCGCTGTTAAAGCCATTCGATGTTTTTCTTAATTTGTGGCTTTAATGTTAAGGCGATCAAATTGGTGTTACAAAGTTCAAATATTGTTAAAAATGAAAATGCACGAAAAACAACTCTATACATGAAATGCAAGCCAACGTTATGATCACATGACTCAAGCCAGTAAGCAGTTTCTAAAAAAGTGTTCTATACCTGTATATGTATAGAACAAATATTAGTCCAGAAAAGGATGAGTTCTCTGTATAAGTTTTCTGAACTGACCAGCCTCTAATTTGAAGTCTCCACACTCCACGACTGGAGTCTGGCTAATGAAAGAAGATAACGAAAAAGCGCGGCAAATTAAAAAAAATAGTATGGTATCCCTAAAAGTTTGATATAGTTTGACATACTAACTTAAATTTTATTTTATTATTTTTTACATTGATAGTAACTGTATTTCTATGAAATTAAATACTATACGTATTTAGTCTTTTACTATTGATACTTAAAATGCAAAATCCATGCAATGGAAAACTAAAACTATATTTATTGTAAAACACAACTTTAATCGGAATAATCAAATCCTGCGAAGGAAACGAAATATTCTATCAAATAAAACAAAGTTTAGGCTATTATACCTGTTAACTTTTCGGAAAAATATATAATAGAAATAAAAATGAGTAATTGCATGAAGTATCAAGACAATAAATCATACTAGCCTAAGAAATTCAATGACATTCTGTGTTGCTATCCGAAAGCTTTCAAATAATTCAATTATGTTCTTTCATTAGCCAGACTATTTTATAATATGTACGAGTACGGAGTAGTACACAGTTACTGTGACAGGTCAGTGACTTATAACCTCTGACGTGCGCCCGTCAATATAAGATGATCATTGAACTATCATTATTTTGAAGTATCAGACCATTTCTGGGCAGTGCTTGCAGCAAAGGCATGTGCCTTGTATGCCTACTAAAAATGTATGCCTCACGGTATCACATTATTCTAACATCATATGACGATTTAAACTGAACTTTATTACACTGCAATGATGTTTAATTTATAATTAAATTTCTAGTAATATTATTTATTCGTTATTCTGAATGCATATCCATCGGGAATGCTAAATGATAAATTTTCTGGTCAATAAGCAACATAATGATTTCGATACCACTGAACAACACGAATTCCTATTGTGCATCGTTTGTATAGAAAGCATGTTTGGATAATTATAGTATAATGTACACGGAATATTATAAATGCAGCAAGGCACTATAGCACTTTCACATTAGAGTATTTTTGGTATGTAAGCAACGTGTAAGGTTGTATTAGATTAGTCACTGACCTACCTTATATAATTAATGATTATATTATATAACTAGCTGCGTTAGTTAGGATAATTTGTACGCTAATATATATATCGTAAAAATACGTTTTCAGAAAATATGTCACTATCAAAAAACACTTTAATTTTACGGTCATTTTCATGGACCATATGGTCTTAGGGTCTGCCTTGCGATTCTGTAACTCGTGTGTGAGTTCGAAATGTGAGTTACAGAATCGCAAGGCTGTTCTCCTAAGGGAATCCTAATTAAATCTTCATAATTAAGTGACAATTTAAGAGATAGGACCAAACTTTCTTGATGCATTTCACTATAATATTATCACATCCACCTTTTAATTAAAAAATATCTAATTCTTATTTAGATAATGATTGTTTGTCTTTTTTGACTACCCAGAGCCACAATGAAACTCCTAGACTATTTTATGATTATGGCCTGAAAATGGTGGGATGAAAGACATACATACACATATTTACGTTTTATCTAACATATAATATAAAAGTCTCGTGTCGCGGTGTTTGTAATTAAACTCATCCGAAATGGTTCAACCGATTTTCGTAAAAATTTGTGTGCATATCGGTTAGGTTTGCTAATCAGACAATATCTATGTTTCACCCCTAAATGTTAAGGGTATCCCACCCCTAAACTTATTTTATTATTTTTTAGACAACATTTTTGATTTAATTTTTTATGAAACAGCATTCAAATCAACACTTAATTTGCACCCCTCTACGATCAACCCCTATTTTTATTATAGTAGATAGTTATTTTTATTCAATTAAAAAAAGTTTTTAGAAATAATATACATGGCAAAATAACGTTTGCCGGGTCAGCTAGCAATTTTATATGAAGTAACTAAAGTGAAGTGAAACAGATTTTGTGAAAAATAATTTTGATGACCTCGTAATTCATATGGTGATAATAAAGTAACATTTTATATTTAAATTTTATTTTAAGTTTTCTGTGCCCTAACGGACTTTGAAAAGACTTACCATCATGAGAATCGTAGATATAGATAACTTCAGTCCAGCCATAGAAAATGATCGTGTCGAAAATAGCACGATGGTAGTCGGGGCGAAGGCTTAAAGCGTAGTCCTTACCGCTGGAAGTTTTAGGTATCACCTGTAACAAATCTTCCTTAAAGTTTCCCGTTAACGGTTTCCCATGCATTTGTTAAAATTTAATGCAAATGCAAAAGGATTAAAGTTAGCTGTCAGATCATACATTAGTCTCCAATCCGGACATAATAGATATAAAAAAAAGATTGAAATCACCACCAAAAACGATTCTGCACATGAATGTGTGTGAACACACCACATACACATAAACATTTTACTAACAACTAATAACTACATTCTAATATATTTACTCATAAATTCATAAGAAATATCCAAGTTATAATAAATAAATAAAATAAGCTTATAAATATGTACGAAATATATTATATATATTATTTGTTAAACCACATAATTATGTATAAGACCAGACAAAGTATCTTTCGTATTATAAAAGAGGAAATGAAAATTATTAAATATAATATTGTCAGCACAAAAGACAGCAGAGCAGATTCATTAACCCTTTATCTATTAAATAAAAACAAATGGTAAACAAACATTAACACTAGTAAGATAATATTTATAACTTAAGGCAAAATATATTAATATTTCCTTTTTTGTATTATTTAATCAACATCACATTTTTCGAAGGCGTTTAAAAGTTATGCACCAGTGACCTCTAGTGATACAATTCCACAGAAAAACTGTACCAACTTTGTTTTAAATTATAAATAACACAAGGATTTTTGGACCGGCGCCAAAGCCTTTAAAGTGAAGCGAACAAAGAAACTCTAAGAAGGACAGAGAGCCGTATTGGTTTGACTAGGGTTAGACTAACTGTACTGGTTAAAAAATATCATGGTCATATATTATATATATATGATTTTATGATCCTTTTTCCCTTAAAAGGGAAACGACTGCCAATTATCGCCCGATAGCTATGACACACCACTGACCCAATAGTTATTTGTTCAGTACGTATGTTATGTTACAACTTTAGTCTAGGGATATGTAGAAAGTTGAATTTATTAACCCAGCTTAGTGTCCCAATATCAACCTTAACATAGACTCCGGACACATCTCTCCTACAAATTTACTTTACAGTCCACTGGCTAGCAATGACTTCTATAAATACATTTTCAAGTAAAAGGTAATTCAGTTTAAACCAGACCGTACTTATATGTTGATACTTAAATGTATTTCGGGACAGTAATAATTTTCAATCTGTGATTTCTCGCACCAGAAAAGCATCGCAACATTAGAAATCCTGGTTGGTGATTTTACTAAAATACTTAATATATTTAAGTGTATTATTGTTACGAAACAAATATTATACCTACTATTATTGTTTGGTTTTAATTGGCAGTGACAAATTATAAATCGGCGTGTCTAATAATCCAACTAATTCAAGGCGTTACCACTTTGGTTGTGGAGTAATATCTTTCCATTATATCAAGAATTGAATTAACCTAAAATGAACAAAAAACCGGTTTTATACGAGCGTGCCCTTAATTAATTAATTAAACTATATCTTTTATTATCTAGCTGTTTTGAGCTTGATGTCATCATCCAATATTCTGTTTAACGTTTCAAAGTCGATTTTGTAGGAAATCCTTTGGGTATGCCATTCCATACATAATGTGTGCAAGACGTGCACATACAACCATTCCTATGAAGCACATCAAAATATAAATTGGTTGTAGGTTTACGAGAGGTCAGATATATTTATTGACACATGCCTGTGAATCGATACGGCAAAAATATTTCATCTCAACGATAAGTGGAACGTAGGTAATACATTGTGTCAGGATATTACAGAAATTGGAAATGGGACATTATTTTTTTGAAATCATAAAAATACGTTCTTGGAAAGGTAAGTATTTAGGAGGTAGGGCATACCTTCGAGGTCCAATAGTATTCATATTGTTAACTACACTAAATGTTGACCGCTGACGGAGCTGCCAGCAACTGTGTACCATGGCTAGTATTTTCGCACGAAATCAAGCGCTTAATCAAAATAAAGGTATTTTATCCAATTTTTTTTTGATCTTGTCCTCTGATATCTGTATTTTTTTTATATGATCAGTGTCTATTGTCTAAAAAAATATTTTGACGAAGTGAATGGGACTTTAAATAACAGATAAGACATTCATTCATACAGGTATCTCAGACTGGAACTGTTTATTGGTACCTTATATGTGTAATCTAAGAACATTAAATATTTTGGTGTGCATGACAAATATTGTAATGAAACCTTATTATAATGACAATTAGTTAACTAGAAACAAATATACTTTTAACAGCACTACTTGTATAGTATTGTTAAAAGCCACAATATTCCTGAAAATAAAGCTACTTTGCAATTTTGTGACATACATGTATAATTGTGTTTGTATAAAAAAAATTAAATATTAAGAGTGTGCCTTTTCGAAATCCCTCTAAAGTATAACGTAAATATCATAGTTTATTTTAATAAACGTGATTTTAAAACCGGGAGAGCTTTCTCGAGGTTATTAGATCCCTCTTTAAACTTTAAAATTGCATTTTTCATGCATATCATTAGTATGAGGCTAAAGATTGAGTTTTTCTTTGAGTATAGCTTTGAAAGCTTTGTTGCTCATGCTGTCATACATTGGATATTAAAAATGCAATTAATATTTATAAATAAACGAAGTGCCGTGTTCTTTGATATTTTGACGACGGTTAATATTTAGTCATATTATTTTTTTATTTTTTTAATGGACAATTCACACCAATTGACCTATTCCCATGCTAAGCTGGTGAAGCTTGTGTTATGGGTACTAGGCAACGGATATACATACATATTATAGATAGATATACATATAAATACATATTTAAACCTAAGCACAACACCAAATGCTCATCACATCGATGTTTGTCTCAGCCGGGGATCGAACCCGGGACCCATGGGGTCGCAGTCAGGGGTACTAACCACTAGACCAATGAGCCGTCATATTAATTAATTTTCAATCTCTATATTATTATTAAACTTTATTTACACTGTAGGTATGTTAGTTGCTATGTGTGCGATTATACCGTAAGGTCGTGTGTTTGTTTCCAGTTACCAAGGGATTTTTATTTTATGCGCAACTAACACATGCTCGTTGGTTGAAGAAAAGTTAGATATTGTACTCGTCTAATACCAAAATCGACGAGGTGAGTGGCATAGAAGGCTGATCAGGAATACTTGAAAAAAAAATCACATTTCGGGACTTTATTGCCGCAATTGTTTATAAGAGGACTTTTCGTCTTTAGTTTCTTGCGAGTTGCAACTTTTGTAGGGTGTACAATCTGAGTAAAATTAGTTATTACTACAAGTTCGTAGTCAAAGGAAAATAAGTTTTGCCATCTTTCTCTCTTCGTTCGGTAGCTCATGTCTGAGTGTGGTCAGCAAGAAAACATCAGAGGCGGACTATCTGTTTCCACCGGTATCAGTCCAGAGCCTCTCTTGGTATATATACCTCATAGTATACACTTTTCAGGGTGATGAGTTTCTCAAATTTCCCATCGTCACGCATTATATGGCTGAAATATGCGGTAATTCGTTGTCGGCTTTTGGTAGATAGGCGAGTTCATACTCGGTGTTGGGTCAATATCGATATATGGGTGCGCTTCGCCGTCCACGGTATTCTATGTATTTGCCTCCAGCACCACATCTCAAAGTCATAAATCCTTTGCCTTCCTCGAGCTAGGATAGTTCACATTTCTACTCCATACAGGATTCTGATTTCTCCTTTTTCTTCTACATGTTGCTCATACGTGTCATCGCATCTTTAGCCATAGCCTTTTTAATCTAAGGATTCGTATGCGGTCCACGATATTGACGCCAGGACTATTGCAATTGACACTTGGGAGCTTTCTGGGTCGATCTACAATCATCTTTTTGATTATTGGTCTGTTCACTGTGTACTACTAAGTGTGTTGCTACTTTCTAACTCCAGTGCCTAAAAAAATTTATAGCAAGAACCAAAAACAGATTTAGAACAAATACATTATATAAAAGAATATTTTTCGTAATATAGATTGTTATTACTATACCAGGGTGAAATTTTCAAATTTACCCACCTAAATCCCTGGGCATTCAAGTAATGTTGCATCGTTAACTTCGTGAGTTTTCATAGAAAATTTCTAAAGAAAAATGTCTTCGTCCGATGGAAATATTGCTCAATAAAAGATTTTTACAAAATTGTTTGGCTTTCAAAATGTATGTGAAGTTGTGGAAGAAAACTTCCCAGACCCTTTACTGGATTGAATCATTGAAGATTTTGAAAATGATATTCTCTCAAAACATTAGTTTTACACCGGTGAAATAATTACTTTAAAACCTATTAATAAGAGTTTGTGGGATTCAAAACTTCTCAGGTATTTTTATTTTTGGTTGCGTATGTTCGACAATAACTCCTCCGTCTGTAGGCCGATGTCAAATAATTCGGATTTGCAGCGGGTTAGTCCTATAGAAATGGTTTTAAGGAATTATTATAGATAGATATTATTATCAGTTTTATAGATTTCATTTCAATAACTTATGATAAGTAAATCAACGGTTTAATAAGCTTTAGCGTTATTAGATTCAGGATGAATGGATTCATCCATTCATTATATTAAATATTAATTCGGGATGGATGATTTATATTTCCAGCGATATAGAGAATTATCTCATAAAAAAGTAAAAAATACGAAGTCAATCTTTGTCGAACCAAATGGTTCATTGAACCATATATTATTCGTACACTCCTTTTCTTGCTTTATATATTAACATACTTCTGAGAAAGTTTCATGTCGTTTAATAGCTTTAATTGTTTTTGTAATATAACTCTCTAGAATCAATAGAAATTAGAAATATCGTTATTGAATATAATAGATCGTGCTACGCACAAAGCTTTTTCTAATAATAGTTACAAAATGGAGGGTTTGCCTTTGTAAAAATGGCTTTCATACAAACAACAGCAGTGATAGTGATATTTTATAACTCTACTCTATTGTGCCCAAACAGTTTACAAAGGATTTTTTCTCGTACGGTGAAGGATAACGTCGCGTAATTACCATTACATATATTCATAATTCCTTATTTGAGCTCAAACAATACCTAACCTG